ATGGTAGTCAGTTGATGATGTTGTGAATCTTTATCGACTGAGATGATTGAGCCACATGTTACGTATGCCGGAATACCGATTACCACGACGCGAAATGCTAACTGGTGTTGGAAACAGTTGGATGAAGGTTGGGGGCGGCCAAACCAAAACGTGACATCAGTGCTTGAAGACACTAACTTCTGGTTGAGCCATGTTGGTAGATACAGACTACTTGGTTGTGATCCGCGTGATTATCATAACCAATGGTTGGAGACTGTGTGTGACATGGCTAAGAATCGATCACAATGGTGTAGGTGTATACACTCTCTGTCTTCCCTTAAACTATGAGACTAAAATTATTTCATATCTTTCTTTCTACCAACTAATTCTTTCTTCCTGTATTATATTCCTATACACAATCTATCCTTTATATTAATACCATTGAAGTAATTACCTCTATGAATCCGACGTTCGTCTTGTTGGATTGTGCTGATAAGACATGGCAACTCGAACTGATGCATTTATGTGCCTGTTCCTACATTGTAGCTCATTGACTGACATCCCATTTTCAGGGTTCTAGTCAAATTATATAAATCTTTTAACATAAGTATTATCATTTAACAGTTAAATAAATCAAGTAGGCAGGAAACGGTTGGTGTAATTCCTTAGACTGGTATAGTATGTGTTGACAATTTAAGCTAATAGTATTAGCTTGATCTTTCTATAATAACACAGAACTTCTCAATTTACAGAGTCAAATGCTACGTGTAAGTCAAGAAGAACTATGATTGTCGGACGCCAATAAGCATGTCTGTATTCTAAAACCTTCCGAATGGTGAATATGTGGTGAATGCATCCATGATCAGGTTTGAAGACAGCCTAAAAGAACACAGTGAGCTTTTGGAAAAAAAAGCTCAGAGAACAGCAACTAAGCTGATTCACGGAATAACGAAGCTCGACTGGCTAAGCTGAACATATTCCGGTTGTCATATCAAACAACTAGAAGTGACATGGTTACAATTTTCAAATTATTGACTGATAAATTTACACCTGATATGCTCTCATTATTCTTATCTTCCAAAACAGAGAGTTTACGAGGAAATTGTAAGAAAAATTCACAAGCCCAGAATAAATTACTTATCAGCTGACTATATCAACTTTCTCATCAAATCATGATCAACGAGTGAAATTCATTACCTTAACAGTTGGTAGAGGCTTCATCCATCCATTCTCTCAAAAGAAAGTTGAATCAACTAAAAGACCATCATTATCAGGACTAACATAAGTTATCAAGCCTTCTATCCTTTCCAAACTGAAATTGAAACTTATATTTCATAAAATTTCGACTGTTTTTACATACATTAATCTCTTGGTTACACTATATTTTTATTCATACATTTTTGTATAAATCTATTATTACTTATTTACTTATGCCTGTTATTCCTCGTGGAGGAGCATAGGCCGCCTACAAGCACTCACCACCCAACCTTGTCCTGGGCAATGCTTTCCAACTCTTTCGAGTTGTTATTCATACTTTTCATATCTGATTCTATTTCCCGACGTAATGTGTTCTTCGACCTTTCTTTTTTCCGCTTCCCTTTACGATTCCAATATAGGGCTTGTCTCATAATACAGTATGGTGATTTTTGTAATATATGTTCTATCCATTTCTATAGTCTTTTCCTAATTTCCTCCTCAGCTGAAAGTTAGTTTGTTCTCTCGCATGTTAGGCTGTTACTGATGGTATACGGTCAATAGATGTTGAGTCTCTTGCGTAGAAAGCTATTTATAAATACTTGTACCTTCTTGGTGATGGATGTAGTAGTTCTCGAAGTTTCAGCTCCATACAGTAGAACTGTTTTGACGTTTGTATTAAAGATTGTGACTTTGTTATTGTTTGACAAACAGTTGTTTTGAGTTCCATATATTCTTCAATTATAAGAATACTGCCCTTGCTTTCCCAATCCACGCCTTTACGTCTAACAGTTAGGATTCCTGACTCTCACACAGGCGGCCAGAGTATTTAACTCACAGCGCTGAATAGTTTTAACTCTTCCCATAGCTTTTCTAAAGTTACTACCGGTTTCAAGCCCAGGTAAACAAGAAGGGTTGTGCATCAGGTGAACGACCCCATCCCATAGAAAACTAACTCGCCCCCCCCCCCCCCCAAAAAACAACGCTAAACAATTCAAATCTATTATTAGTAATGTTATTATATAATCTAATGAAATGAGTTATTTTATATAAAAACAAAAATGTACAATTGTACAATTGTTTATCATGATCATCTATAAGAAAAGAAAAGAAGAAAAAAAAGAAAAAAGCAAAGAAAAAACAAAGAAAACAAACAAGCGAAAAAAATCGATAATTCAATAAATTTCTTTAAACAAAATCAGTTGAAATTGATGAAATATTATCATTATTTGGATCATAATGTGAAGAGTTCGGTTGCTGTTGCTGTTGTTGTTGTCGTTGTTGTTGTTGTGGATTGTTTATCCCATACATCAATGTATTATGATTATGATTATGATTATGATCAATTGAATATTTAGAATTATTGATTATTGAATTATCTATAATTGTATCACATTGATCAAATGTTTTATCATATAATTGTTTATCAATAAAATCAATTAAATTGATTGGTGTGATTGATCGATTATATTTTTCTATTGATTTATTGATTTGTTTATTAGTTAATTGATTTGATAATAAAGATGTATGATAATGATCAATCATATGTGGTGAATGATTTAAATATAATACAGATAAATTATGATTATGATTATGATTAGATTGTTTATTTAATGTATATAATGTATTAGGATATTGTTCAATAATAGTATAATCAGTAGTATTAGTAGTAGTAGGATTAGTATTAGTACTCGTACTAGTAGTAGTAGTAGTAGTAGTAGTAGTGGAAGTAGTAGTGGAAGTAGTAATAGAAGGTGTAGAAAGTGTAGAAGTCATAGAAGAAGTTGAAGTAATCCTAAAAGATGGATTCACTGAAAGACAATTATCTATTTTATGTATAGTTGTCTTATGTGGTGATAAAATTGTTATTGATTTACTTGATGTAATAGTTTGATTATTAGAAATTAATGAAGCTAAATAAATAAAATAGAAAGAAAGAAATTTAATATAATTAATCATTGTTTATGTTTAATAATGAAGATATATGTAGAGATGGTAGTATATTCATAATTGAAATCATAAGACTAAGATCTAAGCTAGACTCTTCAGGAGTGTATATGCATGAACGTACAAGCAGGATTCGAACTCAGAACTTTTAGATTTCCCATGTAAACATTTAACCTTTAGACTATTGAGTTGGTATTTAACAATGTTAATGTTTAACTTTAACCAATTGTTCTTAAAAGTTTAAGAATATTTAAAATTTATATTTTCATGATGAATTAATATGAACTAAACGGTTCTTTATAACTACGAGATATTGGTTTATAACCTTGTTTAAATTTCTTTAAAAGTAAACACCTATGAACTGGTCTTCATTCAATGATTCAACTTAATAAGAAGTTATAGATATATGAAAGAATGAATTCATTTTTCTATTGATTGTTGAAATCCTCTTCTTCTTCTTCTTCTTCTTCTTCTTCCTCCTTTACTATTGACCTATATGCATCCTGTACAGATTGCCTAGATAATACCTTAAGTCACAAAGATAATAAGCAAAGATAGATGATGGAATATTAACTCTAGAATGCAAGTACATTCATCTGATGAGTTTATAATAGGACGAAATGTAAGCGTTGAATTTCATTGGTAAACACTAACACCACATGCTGATAAAAGTAAATAAGGTTCTGATTTGAATACTCATTTCTATATCAATTTATTAGATATGTTCATTTTATCAATGAAATCTATTCTGACAATAGAAGAATCAAGTATGTATCTATGATGAGTTAAAGTTTTATACAACTATACTGTTATTATATTGAATAGATTCTATAAAATGAAATAAACATTGAAAAACACTAACCTTGATATTGTTGTTCATTGGATTTGTTATGTTCTTCTTTACTTGATGATAAAGGAGATAATGACTTGAAGTAACCGAATAAAACAATAGAAAGTAACAATAGATTAGTTCAACATTTAGAAGAATAAAGAATATATATATAAATGCTTCTTCGACATTACGGTATGCCTCAGAAGATAGTCAATATCATACAGAATTCCTATGATGGATGAAACTGTAAAATAGTGCATGGAGGACAGTTGACAAAGTCGTTCGATGTAAAGACCCGTGTTAGGCAAGGTTGCTTACTCTCACCCTTTCTCTTTCTCCTGGTGATCGACTGGATCATGAAGACGTCAACATGTGAAGGGAAGCACGGGATTCAGTGGACAGATAGGAAGCAGTTGAATGACCTAGACTTTGCAGATGATCTGACTCTTTTATCGCAAACGTAACAACAAATGCAGGTGAAGACGATCAGTGTAGCAGCAGCCTCAACAGCAGTAGATTTAAACATACAGAAATGGTAAAGCAAGATTCTACGACTCAGCACAACATGCAACAATCCAATCACACTTGATAGTGAAACATTGGAAGATGTTAAAAACATTTACAAATCTGGACAGCATCGTTAACGAACACCATGGATCTAATGCAAATGTAAAAGCGCGGATAGACAAAGCAAGAGCAGCATATTTAAGACTGAAAAACATCTGCAACTCAAAAGAATTGGCAACAAACACCAAAGTCAGAATTTTTAATACAAATGTCAAGACAGTTCTACTGTATGGGGTCGAAACTTGGAAAACCACGAAAGCCCTTATCCAGAAGATACAACTATTTATTAACAGTTGTCTACGCAAAATACTCAAGATCCGTTGGTCAGACACTATCAACAGCAACCTAATATGGGAGAGAACAAACCAGATTTTAGTGGAGAAAGAAATCAGTAAGAAGCGCTGGAAGACAAGCCCTCACATGGAATGCTGGTCGGCGGCCTATGCTCTATTGTGAGTAACAGGCGTAATATATATATATATATATATATATATATATATATATATATATATAGTTGAGATCATGAGTCAATTGAAGCTAGATCTTCATGGGAAACTTGGAAGCAATGGATGACCGTTTCATCTTACTATGAGACTGTGCTAAATAATATTCATTTCGTCGCATTATCCATAGATTACCAGAGTAAAATCAAGGTTACGATAAAGTATTTTTGTACACATAAATGGGAGGTGGTTGTTAAATTTACGAATAGCCATAACTTCAATAAACTTGAGAATAAGTGATGGTAGAGAAGATTTGTATCTCAGGTGGATAATTTTGGGGGAGTTTTGTTCACTGAACTGTATGGTAGATGTTTGTGCGAATGATATCGTTCAGAAGAACGATGAAACCTTCACGATCAAATCATTGAGAATTTATTCTTGAAAATTTCTATACAACGTTTTAAAAGTTGTATTCATGTCACTTTTGTGCCTCATATTAATTATATGTTTCGCTATCGATGAACATGGTTTTTTACTTCCTACATTGATTGGATTATTTGATACTAACTGATTTTAAAGCCATTTAGGCACATGTTCAATGACCATTATTTGAAATGAGGCACAAAATTGACATTAATCTAACGTTTAAAACGTTGTAAAGAAATTGTCAAAGACGAATTATCAAGTTTATTGAAGTCTTGGCTATTCGGGAATTTAACCACCACCACCACCCCCAATCTAACTCCGCCTGTAGCTCTTCCAGAGTTACTGCCGGTCCCAAGCCCGGGTAAAGGAGGAGGGTTGGGCATGGGGTTAGCGTCCCCATCCCGTAGAAACCTAACTCGCTAAAAAAACGCTAACCAGAAAAAATAACTCAAACCATTTAAACTCTGCCCTGGGAGTTAGAGGTAATATGACGCTTCATGGTGAAAGCCGAGTTCCTTCGGAAGCCACGAGGCCGATGCCCCTCCTAACAACCAGAGCAACAATTTTTATAGGTACATGGAACGTCCGGACAATGTGGGAGACCGGGAAGACCAGTCAAATAGCAACGGAAATGAGGAGATACAACTTGGCAGTACTGGGAATCAGTGAAACCCATTGGACCCAAGCTGGACAACAAAGGCTAAATACGGGAGAGATGCTGCTATACTCCGGTCACGAAGAGGAAAATGCTCCACGCACTCAGGGAGTTGCTCTAATGCTATCCAAAGTAGCACGAAATGCACTTGTAGGATGGGAATCTCACGGATCCAGAATCATCAAAGCATCATTCAAAACAAAGAAGGAGGGGATCACAATGAACATTATCCAATGTTATGCACCCACCAATGATAGCAACGACGACGTTAAGGATCAATTCTATGAGAGGCTGCAATCAATCATAGAGAAGTGCCCAAGAAAGGACCTCACCATTCTGATGGGAGATCTAAACGCCAAAGTCGGAATGGACAACACCGGATATGAAGACATCATGGGACTACATGGACTGGGAGAGAGAAACGAAAACGGGGAAAGATTTGCAAATCTGTGTGCATTCAATAAATTGGTCATAGGCGGTACAACATTTCCACACAAACGTATACACAAAGCTACATGGATCTCACCGGACCACACCACAGAGAACCAGATAGATCACATTTGCATCAATAAAAAGTTCCGAAGGACAATGGAAGATGTCAAAACCAGGAGAGGAGCGGACATAGCTTCAGATCATCACCTAGTTGTGGCCAAATTGAAACTGAAGCTAAAGAAGAACTGGACAACTGGACAAACAGCATCACAAAGGTTCAATACAGCCTTCCTTCGAGATACTGACAAACTCAATGAATTCAAGGTAGCTCTCAACAACAGGTTCTAAGCCTTACAGGATCTACTGAAGGAAGAAAAAACTACTATGGAGGATAGCTGGAGAGGTATCAAAGAAACATTAACTTCAACGTGTCAAGAGGTTCTGGGCCCCAAGAAGCGTCATCACAAGGAATGGATCTCTATAGAAACATTGGACAGGATCAAAGAAAGAAAGAACAAGAAGACAGCAATTAACAACAGTCGAACAAGAGCAGAGAAAGTCCAAGCACAAGCAGAGTACATAGAAGCAAACAAGAAAGTGAAGAAGAGCATTAGAGCTGATAAGCAAAAATACGTGGAAGAACTAGCAACGACGGCGGAAAAAGCTGCAAGAGAAGGAAATATAAGACAGCTTTACGATACGACGAAGAAGCTTGCAGGGAAATACAGTAAACCAGAGAGACCAGTCAAAGACAAAGAAGGAAGACCAATTACTGAGATTCAACAACAGCGGAAAAGATGGGCAGAGCACTTCGAGGAACTCCTGAACAGGCCGGCTCCAATGAATCCACCGGACATCGAAGCAGCACACACAGATCTTCCTATAAATGTCAATCCACCAACGACAGAAGAAATCAGAATGGCCGTCAGACAAATCAAGAGCGGGAAAGCAGCAGGACCTGACAATATACCAGCTGAAGCGTTGAAGTCAGACATCGAAGTAACTACAAGCATGCTTCATCTTCTATTCAAGAAGATTTGGGAGGAGGAACAAGTGCCGATGGATTGGAAAGAAGGACACCTCATCAAGATTCCAAAGAAAGGAGATCTGAGCAAGTGTGAAAACTACAGAGGCATTACACTACTGTCAATACCGGGTAAAGTCTTCAACAGAGTGTTACTGAACAGGATGAAAGACGCAGTTGACGCTCAACTTCGAGATCAACAAGCTGGATTCCGTAAGGACCGGTCGTGCACAGACCAGATTGCGACACTACGGATCATCGTCGAACAATCAATTGAGTGGAACTCGTCACTCTACATCAACTTCATTGATTATGAGAAGGCATTTGACAGTGTAGATAGGAGGACGTTATGGAAACTTCTTCGACACTACGGAGTTCCTGAGAAGATTGTCAACATTATCCGGAACTCATACGACGGACTACAGTGCAAAGTATTGCATGGAGGACAGCTGACAGAGGCAATCCAAGTAAGGACCGGAGTAAGACAAGGCTGTCTACTCTCTCCCTTCCTGTTTCTTCTGGTGGTCGACTGGATTATGAAGACCTCGACATCTGAGAGAAACTACGGCATACGATGGACAGCTCAGAACCAATTAGACGACTTGGACTTCGCAGATGACCTAGCCCTCCTATCACATACACACGAACAAATGCAGATAAAGACAGCCAGCATAGCAGCAGTCTCTGCATCAGTAGGCCTCAACATACACAAAGGGAAAACCAAGGTCCTCAAACACAACACGGAGAACAGCAATCAAATCACTCTTGATGGCGAAACTCTGGAAGACGTGGAATCCTTCACATACCTGGGAAGCATCGTCGATAAACAAGGAGGTTCAGATACAGACGTCGAGGAGAGGATTGGCAAAGCTAGAGCGGCATTCCTTCAACTGAAGAACATATGGAACTCAAAGCAACTGCCTGTCAACCAATATCAAAGTCAGAATCTTCAATACGAACGTCAAGGCAGTTCTACTGTACGGAGCTGAAACTTGGAGAACTACAACAACCACCATCAAGAAGGTACAGGTATTTATTAATAGCTGTCTACGCATGATACTCAACATCCATTGGCCGGATACCATCAGCAACAGCCTTCTGTGGGAGAGAACCAACCAGCTTCCAGCTGAAGAGGAAATTAGGAAAAGACGATGGAAATGGATAGGACATACATTGAGGAAATCATCAAACTGCATTACGAGACAAGCGCTAACTTGGAATCCTGAAGGGAAGCGGAAAAGAGGAAGGCCAAAGAACACATTACGTCGGGAAATAGAAGCAGATATGAAAAAGATGAATAAGAACTGGAAAGAGCTGGAAAGGATTGCCCAGGACAGGGTTGGATAGAGAATGCTGGTGAGCGGCCTATGCTCCTTCACGAGGAGTAACAGGCGTAAGTAAGTAAGTAAGTAAGTAACCACCCCCAATTTATATTTACTAAGACAATTTGTTGTAACCTTGATTTTACTCTGGTAATCCTTAAATTATTCTATGATCTAGAATAAAGCGACAATTTCTTATTGTTTCTATGTGATGTAAAAGTATTTCTCTACCCTTTTGTTACTTTTTTACTTGAACTTTCATTTCATTGATCTTGATTAGTTTTCATATAAAATGCTCTGATAAGTGTATATATATGTGGGATCAGATTGTTCGAAATGTATGGCGCAAATACATCACCAATTTTATGATCAACTTCTTCTTCTTCTTCATATTGTTCTATCAAAATTTATGAAAGGGACTAATATACCAACATGAGACTGAACAACTGTAGTTCTAAATAACAATCGGAAGATACAAGTAAAACAATACCAAGTGAATTTGAACTTCACCCCATTGTATAAGCAAGTGACTATCAGGACTCAGTAGCTAATTGGATAATGCGATGAGGTTTGAAGCGAATGTTACTAGGTTCCAGTCCCAGAGTGAATATCAACTTTGAGATGCAAGCAGATTCAGGTGACATGTCCCAAATAGGACGAAACGCGTGGATCCCACCGCTAGCCACTATCCATCTTTGTTTAAAAATGGACTAATTGCTGAAAATTATATACTCAATTTAGTAACACAAGTTTATTTTTCTAAGTTTAATTTGAGTAGACAAATATTTATATCAGAAGGGGTTTTATAGAGATTTTAATGATCTCTATAGTTGAGATCATGAGTCAATTGAAGCTAAACCAATATTGGAAAACCTGGAAGCACTGGACGACCATTTCGTCTCATCAGTACATATTCATGATCCCGCACCCCCTGAGATTCAAAACCGAGGACCTATCCGTCTCGTATGCGAACGTTTAACCTCTAGACCACTGAGCTTGTCGGCATTCAACGGTGTTAATATCTAACTTCAACCAATCCACAAAGTTATGCCATCGTACACCATTGTCATCAATGAATTACTATCTCACAACAAATCTAATTGAATTTCACTGATCACATCTTCATATTAGAACTCCTGGAAATACCTCTTGAATGAGGTATTATAATAATTTCAATAGTTGATTGGTTGAAAAAAAAACAACAAAATAAATTAACCAATCAGATTATTCCAACAATCTAGACAAATTCCATTTTTCCGATTCTCAATGCATAACTTATAATATCAATATTTGTTTTTTTTTTTGTTTTTTTTTCTTCTATCTACTTCCTTTTAACTGTGAACAGTTTAAATCGACATGGTAACTATTCTGTGTTTTTTTTTAATTTTTTAAGGAAATAGATCTAATATGAATGGTATCATACTGATTAACACATAAATTATATAACCGGAAATATTGAAATAAGAAATTCTATTGTCAATCATCAAATAAAAAACAATATTTGTTACCAATTAAATAAGAATTGAACAATTGAATAATTTCCATTTATAATGAATCAGTAGACTAATAGAGACAATCAAATGTTGTATATGGATACAAAATTACAGAATCTCTAGGTAAAAATTAAGTATTCAACAATATGTCAATCAATATATTTCAGACTTAATTGTTCTTTTGTTTCTACAGTAATTATTCTTTATTCTTGTTCTGTTTACTTTGATCTTATTAATCATCTGATAATAGATATTACTTATTGAATTAATGATACATATTACTGATATCTGTTGATATTAGTAGTATGTATTACTCATAAAGAACATTTTCGTTATGTATTACACTAATATTATAGATAGGGATTAATGATATATTGAATAATCTTCAATTTGTTCTATCGCATACGCAACAACAAATGCAGGAGAAGACAACCAGTGTAGCTGCAGCCTCAGCAGCAATAGGTCTCAATATACACAAAGGGAAAAGCAAGATTCTTCGATACAACACAGCATGCACCAATTCAATCACAATTGACGGAGAAGCTTTGGAAGATGTAAAAACCTTTACATATTTGGGCAGTATCATCGATGAACACGGTGGATGTGATGCAGTTGTGAAGGCACGGATTGGCAAAGCAATAACAGCATATTTACAACTAAAGAATATCTGGAACTCAAAACAATTGGCAAACAACACCATAGTCAGAATTTTTAATACAAATGTGAAGACAGTTCTACTGTATGGGGCCGAAACCTGGAAAACTAGGAAATCCATCGTCCAAAAGATACAGGTGTTTATTAACAGTTGTCTACGCAAAATACTTCAGATCCGCTGGCCGGACACTATAAGCAACAACCTACTGTGTGAGAGAACAAATCAGATCCCAGTGGAGGAAGAAATCAGGAAGAAGCGCTGGGAGTGGATAGGACACACATTGAGGAAAGCACCGAACTCCGTCACAAGACAAGCCCTCACATGGAATCCTCAAGGTCGAAGGAGGAGAGGAAGATCAAAGAACACATTACGCCGGGAAATGGAGATAGAAATGAGAAAAATGAACAAGAATTGGATGGAACTAGAGTGGAAGGCCGAGGACAGAGTGAGTTGGAGAATGCTGGTTGGCGGCCTATGCTCCATTGTGAGTAACAGGCGTAAGTAAGTAAGTTGAAATCATTAGTCAGTTGAATCTAAACCATCATGATGAAAAACCTGGAAGCACTAGACGACCGTCTCGTTCTAGTATGGGACTCCTTAGCAGTGCGTGTCCACGAGCCGCCCCCCCTCCGCGAAATTCGGACCCAGGACTTATCAGTCTCACGTGGGAGCGCTTGTGAGATATCAACTCACTGAAGATATGGTTTATAGTGGCGCAACTTCGTGGATTGGTTGAAGTTAAATATTAACACCGTTAGATACCGGCCGGCTGAATGGTTTAATGGATGAGCGCTCGCACGCGAGACTGATAGATCTTGAGCTCGAATCTCTCTGGGGGGCGGGATCGTGAATGTTCACTGCTGAGGAGTCTCATAATAGGACGAAACGGTTTTAAATGATGGTCTAGCTTCAATTGACTCATGATTTCAACTATTGAAATTTCTAAAATCTCCACAAAACCCCCTTCTGATTATTTAAGTAATAAAGATTGTTATTTGTGATAGGATTAGATTGAAGCAATGTGTTTAGATCACCTAATCGATATATCATCTATCCACAAAGTTCAAAGCTTTTAAATTGAACCATGGATGGAGGGGTATAGAATTCGTACTTAAGTAAATAATTTAAGCACACTGCTTTCAACACATTACTTAATTCAATCTGTAAAATTAAGTAGGAATAATCAGCATATATTTGTGACTATCAATTACAATGAGAATAAATGTGTCTACCTCACAATGATTTGTAATTTACCTTAGTTGAAATTTAAGACTGAGTGAGACTATAAACTATGGACGACCTTTGAGCGACGCTGAAATTGCCTTGAGAATGTTCACCTACTGATTAAGGTTAAATCTGTATGAAGGATAAGGATTGTGATATATAGTTGATGGTTAGGGATAGGAATTAGATTTAAGGTTTTCATCACAAACTGACATCAGTTAAAATGTCCAGACTCTAGTTAGCCAAATGGATGAATGAATTTTGCACTGAAATCCAAGACGTGTTATCGTAAATCTAATTGGTTCGTCCATAAATTATAGTTTTGCTTATGACTGTTTTGCTATATATTTATCTTTAGTGGATAACACCAATGTAGCTTTTATCATTATAAATCACAGTCTGATTGTTCTAAAACTTGTGACTAAATAGGTTTAATCAGGTAAATCTTTCAGAATGCACATATAGTAATAGAGATTGATTAATCTCAATCTTTAAATCTAACAACAGGAAATTAAAAGACTATTCATGACACTTTCATTTCTATTGAACATGTAACTTAGTACCTGACTTGAGTGTTTTAGTAAATAAGATGTTTATGTTTGAAGCACTAGATATCAGATTCAAGTTCCATTATGGAATTAACACTAAGATAGAGATGAATTCAACGGAAAAACTTCATATAAGATGAAACGTTCATTTTGGATTCCATTGGTAGTCACAATGTGATTATATAAAAATGCATTATCTGATTCGGTAAATTGTCAAAATTTTCAATACAAATATATATATATATATATATGGGGTAGAAACGTGGAAAACTACAAAAGCCATTATCCATAAGATACAAGGGTTTATTAACAGTTGTCTAAGCAAAATAATTCGGATCGTTTGGCCAGACACTATCAGCAACAACCTATTGTAGGAGAGAACAAACTAGATCCCAGAGGAAGTAGTGTTAGAAGTGGATAGGACACATAAGACTATAATTTATGGAAAACTTTTGAGTAATAGTAAAATAATCTTGAGAATATTCACCTACTTACGAGGAATAAATGAAGTTTATAAAGCAATGCGAGGAATAAGAATTAGAATTTACAGTTGATGGTTAGAGGTTATGAATTAGATTTAGGGTTTTCATCATCAACTGACATTAGCTATAATAATGAAATCGTATTTGTTATATCCTAGTGATGTTCAAATTATTATACGATTCCCTGTTCTTAAGTTGTGTCTAGTTTATTAATTACCGCCCCCCCACTATAATCACAGTCACTTTTCGGCTTGATCATGTACAAAGGTTGTTTCCTATTATATGGTATAATGTGATCTGTTTGACTGGTATATAAACTAAATCTATTTGAAATAAATGATTCGTATAGTGGTAGATGGTGTTAATATTCTGGACTGAACTAGACGGGCTAAGCAATTAAAGAACCAATAAAGACGTTAGACTATTTATATCAGTCGAACATCATTGGTTATAGTATAGTACAAGAATGAATAAGTTACATTTCAATTAAGATATTAATTATGTGATTACTAGCCAAATTTAAAATTATAACATTATTTAACTAAATGAATATATATGAATCTCGCGCCAAAATGTTTGACCTTCTATCTTGAATCTGATTGGTTCATTTATAAATAAATAAACAATCAGTATCATAACTCACTTGATTATTATGATTATTATTATTATTATTATGTGGTATTGCAATATATTCCCAACTTCTAGCACTTTTTAATTGATTTATTTCATTTAAATTATTATTATGATTATTATTATTATTATTATCATGAATTGATGTATTCAATACATTTATTGAATTATCTAATTTTTCTGATTTTTTTAATTTTAACGATTGTGTAAAATAAATAGGATCCATTTTATTATTATTATTATTATTATTATTATTATTACTATTCATGATACTATTCATAGTGTCTGTTGCCATGGTAACAGTATTTGTACTATTTCTTCTATCGATTGTTGATATATTCGTTGATAATATTGATTTATTTTTTAAATTTTCATCATTGATTATTGTTTTACATAGATTCAATGGATCATTATTATTATTATTATTATTATTATTATTATTATTATTATGACTATGATGATATTGTTGTATATAATCAGAATTAGAATTCATTAATGTACTACTTATATTTTGTTCATATTGATTATATTGTGGTAATGTATAATCATCTTTATTTATAATCCAATATTTTTCATTATTATTATTATTATTATTATTATCATTTATTGGCATAGTTAAATAGATTGATTGTTTATCATTTATTAATGGTAATGTTTTATGATAATTTAATGGTAAAAATGTTTGATAATTTTCATGATGATTTTGTTGTTGTTGTTTTTGTTTTTGTTTTTGTTTTTGTTGTTGTTGTTGTTGTTTTGTTAATTGATTATTTTCTTCAATTAATATTGATTGAAATGATAAATTATTGAATGGATCAATGTATTGATTATTTTCATTATTGAATAATATTGATTGATTTGAAGGATATTGATTATTGATTATTGATTTATTAGGATATAATATTGTATTATTATTATTATTATGATGATGATGATTTGTATGATATTCTGAATTTTTCCAATTAAATTTATTATCATTTATTTTTATGTTATTTAATGAATTATGATTACGTAATAGATATTGCATTCGACCATTTATACCATTATTATTATTATTATTATTATTATTATTATTACTATTAGTATTATTATTATGATGATAACGTAAACTTTGAAAACCTCGTCGACCACATACATAAACAGTAATACCTAATAATACAAGTATGATAGCACAACTTAATGCAACTATAGCAACTAATATAGAACTAGTATTTAATGTATTTATTTCATTAAGATTATTATAATCATTTGTTTTTATTAATTTTCCATGTTCATTCAATAACGGATAATATTGATTATCTTTTAAATGATGATGTAAATTTAATGATTTTAGATTATTATTATTATTTAATACATTTGTAGTATGATGTAAATTGGTAAATCGATTAGAATAAATACGTGGTGGTGAATCAATAATCTATATACAAAAAAAAGGTGGTGGTGGTGGTGGTGGTGGTGGTAGTGATGGAAGGGGGAGAGAAAAATAATAGAAATAATGAATATGAATAATTAATTATAAATTATATAAAGAGCCGAATAAAAGCAATACACATCTTATTCATAGCAGTCATCTGGTAGATAAATCGAAATCATTTCGAGTGATGTATCGTATACCTTTATCATTTCCCAACAGAGTTCGTTCCTGCCTCCTACATATAGCTGAAGTCATAGAAATTCGTATATATATAACCCCAATTTATGTGTACAGAAGAGATTTATAACCCTCCTATTCCTTCCATGGTCAGTTATAACTTAACTAACGATGAATTTATTTTATTGTTTCTTTACTATTATTATTATTATTCTATCATTAACTTCATTTACATATCCATTATTAGTGGTCTAGTAAGTTAAGCGCCTGGTGCGAGACCGATAGGTCCTGAGTTCAAATCTTGCGGGGATGCGGGATCGTGGATGCCTACTGCTGAGGAGTCCCATACTAGGACGAAGCGGTCGTCCAAAGCTTCCATGTTTTCCATGGTGGTGGTCTAGCATCAATTGACTCATGATTTCAACTATTGACATCTATTATTTGTTTGTAATTATCCGCCTCTTTCCATTTGTATATTTCACTATCTAATTATTTACACACTTCTTATTACGTAATGATTTTCAATGTTTTTGTGATGATCATTCCAAGTCTATTTACCCATGTTTGACCTACTATTTCTAATGTTTAACTACTGATGTGATTTTTGTTGTCATATTGTATTTTATTATTTTTACCTACTATCAATACACTTGTCTTCCTCCTATCAACTTGTACTTTTATCTATTATGTATGGTGAGTTAATCTATGTCATAGTGATTACCGACCTAAATTGCCTTGATTGGTTTAACATTATCGTAATAAATACATTACTGTATATTAGCGTAAAGCCTTAGGACGATCTTTATTGAAAACAAGATTGTTCACTTATATGTGTTGTTCTAATTATAAATCATTCAGAATGATAATGTATTGATTTTTTGAAAGAAGAGTAAGTGAATAGTCACTGTGAAGAATTATTTATGAATGATCATTATATGGATTTCTATTGGATCACTACTAAGTAATTAGATTATATTGAAGATGTTATCGGTATTTGTAATTTCAATGGTTGAAATCATGTGTCAGTTGAAGCTTGAGGACTATGGAAAATCTGGAAGCACTAAATGGACATTTCGTCAGCAATGCACATCTAAGATCCCACCTCTCGGGATTCGAATCCACGGCCATCGGTCTCGCATGCGAACGCTTAACAATTAGACCATTGAGCCGGCATCCAACGATGTTAATGTCTAACTTCAACTAATCCACGAAATTGAGTGACACATCCACCATTGTCATCATTGAGTTACTATCTCACAACAGACCTGGTTGAACTTCACTAGAGTCATGATCTCAACCATTAAAATTACTATAATATATACAAAACCTATTCTGATATTGATCAACACATACTCACTAGTGACTAGCTTCAAGAGGTATATCCTGGAGTTCTAGTGAGAAATAGTGACCAGTGGAGTTCAACCAGGTCTGTTGTGAGATACTAACTCACTGATAACAATGGTGGATGTATCACTCAATTTCGTGAATTAGTTGAAGTTAGACATGAACACCATTAAATGCCGTCAGTCTCAATGGTGTAGAGGTTAAGCTTTCGCGCGCGAGACCTAGAGCCCTGAATTCAAATCTCGCGAAATGTGATCGTGGATGCGCATTTCTGACGAGTCCTACAATAAGACGAAGCGTCCGTCTACTGTTTCCAGATTGTCAATGTTGGTCTATTATCAATCAGTTCATGATCTCAATCCAAATCTTAATAATCTTCACAAGTCCATACTGAGAAACATTAAAAAAAAAAACATAACCTCTTGATATTTGATTATTTTCCTGAAGAAGTTCAGACAAGACTGTTCTATATATATATATATATATATATATATATATATAATTTTAATAGCTGATAGTTTTCAAAATCTAATTCCCGTTTTTCTTTTCTTTTCTAATTTAGAACAATTCAGTAACAATCACATGAATATCAAAAATACTCACACATATCTACATATAAACATTCCTATAGATATACACATAGTAATAAACTTACTACTCATGTACTTTAACTACAGAATAATATGTTTTGATTTTTTCTTTTTTTTTTTTGTTTTTTTCATGAAACCATATCCGATACCGATATTCAATGAGTAGGATATATAAGACAAACACAAAAAGTGAGCGAGAGAGAGAGAGAGGTGGGAGGGAGGTAGGAAGACACACACACACACATACACAAGTTTAGTTACTAAGATAGAAACAGCCCTGTGCAATACAAACGTGGTTTGATAAGGTGTCTTTTCAACAGGCTTGATCGCATTTGTACAAATGACGCCATTGATGATGATGTTAAGTTGTTAAACAAAACATTATAGAAAATGGTTACCCCCTGAAATTCATAAATAGATGGAAAGTCCACGGTACAGTGAGACCTACTGTAGCCTCGGTGGAAAAAAAGCCTGTCTACATCACCTTACCATTCAGAGGTGATTCAAATAGTCTCTTATTGAAACAAAGACTTAAATCAGTCATCAGCAAAACGTACTGCGCAGCAAAGGTCATTGTCAAAGAAAGAACAAGGTGCATGTTTCATTCAAAACCTCAAAGACATGAAAACGATTGTGTCACATCCCACTGTGTTTACCAATTTAAATGTGTGTGTGGTCACACATACATAGGGAGGAGCAATCGTAATCTTAACATTAGGGTGAGTGAACATGTACCCAAATGGCTGCAAAAACAAATACAATCAAGTGACCCAATAAGAGCAGAGGATAAACATCCATCATCCTCTATTGCTAAACATATAATTGAAACAGGGCACAAGATTGATCTAAACTCGGCTTTTGTGGTATTATATAAAAGTGTAAAAGGGCGTATACTAAGGTTTATTGAAGCCTTAGCCATACGAAAATTCAAACCCCCTTTGTGTATTCAAAAACAGTTTGTTCTTACCTTAAACCTACCCTGGTAATATTGACTTATTATCCAGAGTGATTAGGTTTTGAATTGTGTTCAGATTATTATTAATATTATTATTATTACTCTTATTATTATCCTTATATCCTCTTACCCCATTTCCAGTCTAGTTGACCTTTTATTTTTATATATAAATGCTCTTAACAAGTATATGTGTGATCAGATTGTTCGAAATGTATTGCGCTAATATATCACATAGTTTTGATAATCTCCGTCTTCTTATTACATTATCGAAATTTATAAAAGGGACTAATTGTTTTAAAAGTCTAATTTAAATTGTTTTCTATCATGGTAAATAAAATAGAAAAAAAAATTAAATGAGTATAAGAATAAAACCGGAAATTTAAATGTTTGTCTATTTTGTAAAGTTTCTTTAAATACTATTTGTTGTCGTTGTTGCTGTTGTTGTTCTGTTGATATGTTGTCTATAATGTAACCGCTTAGATATATATATCCATATCTATTCTTATAGATAAATGTCTATACACAATTAGTTATGATTTAAAGTGAACAAAATAAATAATAAAGAATAAATCATTGATTTAAAATGAAGTGGGGGTGGGGGGAAAGAAAAGAAAAGAATTGTGATAAACATAGATTCTTTAGTAATTACAAATCGTTATAACCAAATCTATGACGACGTTTATAGTTAGTAACTAAGTGAAGTAAAGTAGTGACAGTATTTCATTGATAATATTAAATGTTACTAATTAACAGGGAATCATGTGATTTAAAACTTTATCGTTTAACCATATATATATAATATATGATATAGGCCATTGGCTAAGAAAGTTAAAACTTCCAAAAAGTAATTCTACGTCCGATGATTATACATATTTGGATTCTATATTCATTACGTATTAATTGTTGTTGTATAAGATGGTAGTTGAAGATAGTCAACAAGAAACTCTGAACTTAAGTTTTGTGCTAATTGGTATTCATCAGTAATGGTTTAGATAGCTCAGTGGTAACATTTCTGAATGTGAAGCTAGATGACATGGAATAGAATCTATCAGGGAGTATCAGTTTCAACAAGATTACAGGTACATCTTGTTGATGAATTGAAAAATAGCACAAAGTCTAGGTCCAGGGTTTCCTGTTGATTACCTTCAATCACTATCTTATCTCAACATAGTGCATGGAATCTTAAGTCACCTAAACTAGTGGCCAAATTGAAACTTGGGTGATAGGATTTGATTTGAACTAAGAAGAACCTGACATAGATGATATTGATCACTACGCAGTGATCAATCATTTGTAATTGTTGTTATATATTCTATTGTTGATAAATTACAGTTACTTAATGATATACCTGTCATTTAGTTTTGTATTATAAATGACGTAGTTAAATACAAATTATGAGTTCTTGACATTAGTTCTCTATGGTCTTCAAACTAATATGCATATTGATTGAGATTATGAACCGAGTGATGTAAGACCATCATTGAAAACCTGAAAGCACTGGATGGCCGTGTCCAGTGCAGCTAATCCGTGTCGGATAGAGACAAGTATCTACTTCAGTACAATGGAAGATGTTTGAGCAATTTCGTGAATTGGTTGAGGTTAAACGTTCACACCGTTGGATGCCGACTGGTTTAGTGATCTAGAGGTTAAGCGTTCGCGCGCGAGACCGGAGGTCCTGGATTCGAATCCCGCGAGTGGGATCGTGAATGCGCCTTCCTGAGGAGTTCACAGTGCTTCCGGATTTCCAATAGTGGTCTAACATCAATCAGTTCATGATCATAGTCAAAAACTATAAATACAGAATATAGCCTGGTTGACTTCAATACATTTGAATATTGCTGTAATACAGTCTATAGACTAGTCAAGTTAAAACTCAAAAAAAAAAAAAGATTTTTTAAAAGTAAAAATAAAAATAAACATTTACTTTAACCAATAGTTTCACTTCTGTCGTACGTGATGGAATACCAGCATCTTGTATATGTATTACTAATGGATATAAACCAATATCTTGTATAGTTAATTCACGATCAATTATTAATTCAGCTGATGTACTACCAAGACGAAAGATTGAAGCTTCATTACCAGAATATAAATTGAAATGTAATAAAGAATTATGTCCTTCATCTGGATCACGTGCTTCAATTCGTGCTACTATCTGAAAGAAATTAGTAAGTTACATTAAAATATGATACAAAAACATGAAAAGCGAGATGAAAACTATGCAGTAGTATGTGAACACATAATGGAGGAAAAAATCAAGAAGAAGCTTTGGAAGTGGTGAGGACACGTATCGAGGAAAGCACTGAACTGTGTCACAAGTCAAGCCCTCAATTGAAATCCTCAATACCAAAGAAAAAGACGAAAACCAAAGAACCTATTACGCCGAGAAATGGAGATAGAAATGAGAAGAATGAACACGAATTGGATAGAACTAGAAAGGAAGGCCGAGGACAGAGTGTTGGAGAATGCTTATCGGCGGCTTATGCTCCATTCTGAGTAACAGGGTAAGTAAAGTGAGTAAGTAAAATGTGAACATATAATTTAATAGTAGTTAGAACATCTTTATATATTGCTTCACAGTGACTGATTTTAAACTATGAAGCTTAAGGTCTCTAACTATAAAATAGTTTGATAGGTCTTACAATGTGTTGAAGATAATAGCTTTCGTAATCATCCAAACCCTAACTGGAACATGAGAACAATGCAAGGAGGGCGGATAGTCTGGTTTTATTTCAAGGTCAGCAGATCCATCTAAAGGGTATAAAGATGTGTTACTGACAAGTACAAGGTAAAACAAAGTATAGATTAGGTGTTACTTGTTGAATACCTTCAACAATTCAACATCAGATAAGATTTTACTTTAAGGATGAAAATAAAGAATTTCCAAACTATAATTTGTAATTTTTAGCGAAGGAATTGCTTAGTGATTTTAGAATTTCGCTTCCAACTAGTAGAAGAAACTTACTTAATTACTTACGCTTGTTACTCCTCGTGAAGGAGAATAGGCAGCTCATTAACACTCTACATCCAACTCTATCCTGGACAATGCTTTCCAGTTCTTTCCAGTTGTTATTCATACTTTTCATATCTGATTCTATTTCCTGATGTAATGTGTTGTTTAACCTTCTTCTTTTGCGCTTCCCTTCATGATTCTAAGTTAGGGCTTGTCTCATGATACAGTATGGTGATTTCTGTAATGTATTTCCCATCTATTTCAATCATCTTTCCCTAATTTTCTCTTCAGCTGGAAGTTGGTTTGTTCTCTCCCATATTAGGCTGTTACTGGTGGTATCCGGTCAATCGATGTTGAGTATTTTGCGTAAACAACTATTTATAAGTAGTTGTACATTCTTGATGACGGTTGTTGTAGTTTTTCTTGTTTCAGCTCCATACAACTAAACTGTTTTGGCGTTTGTATTGAAGATTCTGACTATGATATTGATTGAAATTTGTTTTGAGTTCCATATCAGTAGAAGAAAGCATAATGGTATATATTGTCTTTCCAATGAACATGTAAAGCGAGGTCATTACTCCTTTATTTAAGAAAAATTTCAGGTAACTTGTGTAACATCCTATTTGTACGCATGGTTATTAGGGAGTGTATGTGAAAATTCGTCCATTCATGTGTATTATATTAATTCTTGATTTTCAATACGATTATTACAGTTCTTTTTTTGTTTACAATTTCAATTTTTATCAATTCTTTGACATTGTATCGTATTTTATTGACAGTCTAGAAGTTAAGTGTTCGCGCGGGAGACCGAAGGCCATGGGTTTGAATCCCACTGGCGTGATGGTGGATGCGCACTGCTAAGGAGTCCAACTATAGGACATAACAGCCGTCCAGTTCTTCTAGGTTTTCAATGATGGTCTAACATTAATCGGTTCATGATCTCAATCAAAAACTCAATAATCTTCACAAGCCCATACTGACACATATACTTTGTTCACTGCTATTTAGATTTTTAGTCTTAGTTATTACTGATTAAATCTGCTGAATTGATTCATCGTTTGACGATGGAACTATGTTTGTAGTTTATACGAGTCATTTTATTTTGTTTATGACAGCTTGATTGTATTGTGTCTCTTGAGTACAAATTGAACTGAGTAGCTTTAATTCATTCTGAATCATTGGTGTATCATTATATAGAACTACCTGGGATTCTAAGAATGTTGGGTGTAACGAGTCGATTATCACTATTGGTCTAATCATTACTCACTAAACATAGACTTCAAGGGTTTTCTATTTGTACCCCAATCGATAATGAAAATTGAAACAGTAATGAATCATTCTCAGAGGGAACAGAGAATTGACTATTCAGTTGAGTAAACAAATTTATTATAATATTAATTAATTGTTTTGGATCTTCCCATTCACTTGTTTAAGACTATCATAGATCAGTCAATTTTGAGCATATGTAAATTCTAGTCGAATTATCTGAATATTTCCAAACAAATCATATACATTCAAAACAGAAATAGATAGTAAAGTGAATATCTATTCTTAGCTTCAGATATATCTATCTGAAGAGTTTCAAAATAGGACGAAACATGAGTCCGAAATTCCATGACTAACTATCATCATGAAGATATTCAATATCATACAGAATTCCTATGATGGATTAAACTGCAAAATCGTGCATGGAGGACAGTTGACAAAATCGTTCGAAGTAAAGACCGGTGTCAGGCAAGGTTGTTTACTCTCACCCTTTCTCTTTCTCCTGGTGATCGACTGGATCATGAAGACATCAACATCTGAAGGGAAGCACGGGATACAGTGGATAGCTAGGATGCAATTGGATGATCTAGACTTCGCAGATGATCTGGCTCTTCTATCGCATACACAACAACAAATGCAGGAGAAGACAACCAGTGTAGCTGCAGCCTCAGCAGCAATAGGTCTCAATATAAACAAACGGAAAAGCAAGATTCTTCGATACAACACAGCATGTAACAATCCAATCACAATTGACGGAGAAGCTTTGGAAGATGTAAAAACCTTTACATATTTGGGCAGTATCATCGATGAACACGGTGGATCTGATGCAGATGTGAAGGCACGGATTGGCAAAGCAAGAGCAGCATATCTACAACTGAAGAATATCTGGAACTTAAAACAATTAGCAACCAACACCAAAGTCAGAATTTTCAATACAAATGTGAAGACAGTTCTACTGTATGGCGCGGAAACCTGGAAAACTACGAAATCCATCGTCCAAAAGATACAGGTGTTTATTAACAGTTGTCTACGCAAAATACTTCAGATCCGCTGGCCGGACACTATAAGCAACAACCTACTGTGGAAGAGAACAAATCAGATCCCAGTGGAGGAAGAAACGCTGGAAGTGGATAGGACACACATTGAGGAAAGCACCCAACTGCGTCACAAGACAAGCCTTCATATGGAATCCTCAAGGTCGAAGGACGAGAGGAAGACCAAAGAATACATTACGCCGAAAAATGGAGATAGAAATGAGAAAAATGAACAAGAATTGGATGGAACTATAGTGGAAGGCAGAGGACAGAGTGGGTTAGAGAATGCTGGTCGGCGGCCTATGCTCCATTGGGAGTAACAGGCGTAAGTAAGTAAGTAAGTAAGTAACTATCATCATCTATTTTTACTTCAAAGTTATGAAATTTATTGATTTTTTATTTATTTATTTATTTTTTTAAAAAAAAATAAAAAAATAAGGATTAATTAAATTGTACTTACTTCACCTGGTGGTTCACGATAAGATACAGTAATATTACCTTTACCATTTACTGGAAATACAACAATAGGATTATGATCATTTAAATCAGTAACATGTATATAAACTTTAACAGTTGATGAAAGTGATGGTTTACCATGATCAATTAATAATATAATTAATTCATAATTTGATTGTTTTTCACGATCTAATAATTGTAATGTTGTTAATTCACCAGTAGTACTATTCAATTTAAAATATGATGTTGTACTAAGTAAACGAAAATGTAATTGAGCATTTTCATCAATATCATTATCAGTACCAAGTAGGATACCTTTGGAAATAAAATTAAAAATGAAACATTGAATGAAATCAATATCATCAATGTTTATGAATTGATTCAAATAAGTAGTTTTAAGTAGTATTTGTCATAGGTTCATTTTAGTTGGAATGTTATAGAAGATTGTTTCATCTTAGAATTGGATAGTTAATATAGCTTCATCATAAGTCCGTCTACGGTTACTCATGGTTCAAAGTTAGCAACTTCGTTCATTGACACTATAGAATATTTGAGATGATTGTCAGTATTATAGAAATTTTACGATTAACTATACTGTAAAATTGTATTTAAAGGGAAGCTCACAAATGCGTTTTAAGTGAAGACCAATGTCAAACAAAGCTTTTTATTCTTACTCTTTCTCTTCTTTTTGGTGTTTGACTAGATTATGAAACCTTTGCATGACAGGAGAAGCATGGAATATAGTAGGTAGTTTGGAGATTGTTAGACGGTTTGGATCTTCCAAATGACTTAGTTTTCCTATCCCATATACAGTAATGAGTGTAGATGAAGATAGCCAATGTAAAAGTACCTTACACAACAGTAGGTTTCAGTATTTACATAGGATAAATTAAAACTATAATATACAACACAGAAGACATTAATCCAATGACACATGATGGAGAAGCTTTGAAAGTGGTTGAAGTCTGAAACTTAGAGAACTACTTCAACCACTATAAAAAAGTACGGGTATTTATAGAAGATTGTCCATTCAAGATACTCTTGATCCTTTGACCAAATATCATCAGTAACAATCTACCAGCTTCCAATTGAAGAAGAAATTAAGAAAAGACTCTAAAGTTGAATAGGACATACATTATGAAAATCATCAATCTCTCTCAAGATGCAAACTCTAACTTGGAATATTGATGACAAAATAAAAATGAAAACCAAAGAACATATTACACTGGGAACTGAAGATTACACATCAACTAAATGAATAAGACATGGAAACAACTGGAAAGTAGAGTATATGATAGAGTAAGTTATAGAATTGGCAGTCTATGCTCCAACAGTAGTAACAAGCTTTGGTAAGATGTATATTCTTGTCTAATTTTCGAAGCAACTACCTAAAACATTAACAATGAATCCAATGAACAAAATTAATTGTCAAACTCACACTAACTAGTTCATTATATTCATTACTTTGAATTGGTTCCTTATTAGTCTTATTTGATGAGTCATTTTGAATTACAAAATAAACAACAACTTGTAATTAGTTGCTTGAAGTCTAACAAAAAAGAAAGAAATGTAAAACTACCCCCTCCCATTGAAAATGGAACAATATTTAAGAAAAAAACTAAATAGATATTCGTTTATATTTATCGTGATGGTCATCAACATCATCATCATTATTATCCGAAGCATCATCATCATCCGAAGCATCATCATCATCCGAAGCATCATCATCATCCGAAGCATCATCATCATCCGAAGCATCATCATCATCATCATCCGAAGCATCATCATCACCGTCATCCGAAGCATTATCATCATCATCATCATCATCACCATCATCATCCAAATCATCATCCAAATCATCATCATCATCATCCGAAGCATCATCATCATCATTATCCGAAGCATCATCATCATCATCAGAAGCGTGATCATCATCATCATCATGATAAGAGTAATTAAATAAGCCATAAATCCATAAAAAAACCATTTCAGGTTGTCTTTTTGTACTGTCCAAATTATATTTGTATATTTGCTTGAATATTTTTACGTTGTTATATTGGTTAGCTAACTCTATCTATAAATGTGTTACAGTCTGTTTTTTTTTTTTCTTTTTTGAAATGAATTATAACAAATAGTAAACATGTATGTCAAATAGTAGTTGACAAGTACAATCATTTTATAATTTAAAGTTATTTTTAATAGAAAAAAATACACTTTTATCCTAACTAATTTAATACTTGTAATAAACTATAAAAAAAAAAAAACTATTGATTATTATTGATTGTTACTAGGTGACAATGATTTTGCATTGACTTTAGTTACATAACCATTTTGAAAATATAAACTCTTGATTGAATTGTTTCATCCTGATAATATGACACTTCCGTTGTACATATCTGGAAACATTCAGATAAATCGTACCTAAAATCGATAAGCCCTAAGTCAAAGCATTGTATCTATTAAGTTTATTTATTGAAAAATACTACAGAATTATTCTAAATTTCATAGCTAACCTATTCATCATTGAAATTGATCAGTCATTTACTGTAATACGTAATTTATTTAACTAACAATCATATAGTAGATCGGTTTAGTTTTACCTTATAATATGAATCATTTAAAAAAAAACATATAACATATTTTAGAAGGGGGGTTTTATGGATATTACAGTACTTTTTAATAGTTAAAGATCATGAGTCGATTGAAGCTAAACCATCACCATGAAAAACCTGAAAGAACTGGACGGCTGTTTCGTCCCATTGTAGGACTCCTCAGCAATGTGCATCCAGGATAACCCCCCTTTGAGAGATTCGAAACCAGAACCTATATGTCCTATTCATTCAATTCACAATATCTTCCTGTAATACATTCACATTACAATTTAACAATAAATAGAGTTTTAATGGTTAAGATCATGAGTCAATTGAAGCCAGACCACCATGGAAAACCTGGAAGTACTGGATGGCCGTTTCGTCCTCGTACGGGACTCCTCAGCAGTGCGTATCCACAACCTCGCCCCCTTGCGAGATTCAAACCCAGGACCTATAGGTTTTGCGCACGAGCACTTAACCACTAGACCACTGAGCCCGCCGTCATCCAACAATGTTAATGTCTAACTTCAACTAATCCACGAAATTGAGTGACACATCCACCACTGTCTTAAATAGAGTTTAATGATTTCATTTAGTTAGAAGTGAAATTTCGTTTATTATTTAAATCAATAATAAATTTTCAAAAACAAACAAACATATGTTAACTAACATGTTCTTTCATCTGCGTATCCAACAGTAAACCACTAATGCTGGTGATAATTATACAAGTTGATATGGCAAGACTATAATTTATAAATGAACCAATCAGATGTAAGATAAAAAGTCTTGGAATTGGGCGCGAAATTTATCCATACATTTAGTAAAATATCATTTTGGTATTATAGCTGATGTCAGTTATTGATAACCCTAATCTAGTTCCTCACCATAGTTTATAACTCTCATTTGATCCTAGTTATTTTATGTATTTATTTATTTATTTTAACACATAAGTATAGGTACAGGGAGGCACCAAATATATATGCGCCACACAAATCTCAATTGATTTGTGTGAGGGCTATAATACTGCCCGGGTGCCCATACCGAAGCAGGTGGTTTTCTTAGGGGACCACACCCCGAGACTTCGACCTGAACGTCTGACCCACAAGGCAGTGGAGCATCGTGAGGAGATGCAGTCCCATGGTAGCCGGTGACCAACGATTGGTTCATACGCCATTTGTTCCTTCAGGATACTGGAGCCAGCCCATGTGCACCATTGGTCTGGGATCCAGTTATAGCGCCGGACATTCGCTTTTCGTCCTCTCATTTTCGTAAACAACAGTAAGGCCACGAGAAGGCAGTGAGTAGGACTTCCCTGGCAGAGACTATATACGCATGGCCATGTGAGAGCATTTGGAGAGGGAGAGCGGACTCTCCCTACTCTCGGCCGTACCAGGGCATTTGGGGGCTTGATCCTAGTTAGTATGTACTGAACAAGAATACGGGTCGAGAGACAATCGAATGTATTTAACACAAAATTACAGGACTTGTTAATAAAATCTAACAATCATAAAGTAAATGCTCAATTTGCAAAATGTCCATGAATTGTCTCAAAGTGATCCAGACTATATAGCTCTTGCATTTTCATACAAATTGCATTCTAATTACATTTTTTACTGTTCGATCTTCTTGTCTCTCTGATGCCGGATATTTTGTTCACGACTACTACTATTGTGGTGTGTGCTACTTACGTAGACATAAGTAGTATATGACGTGAGCACTGAACAGAATGTCTGGCGGCAGACAGATAAGTAGATCGAACAATAAAGAATGAAGACAGAAGGCAATTTGTATAAAAATGCAAGAACAAGGGTATTCTGAATGATTTGAGACAATTGATGAACAATTTGCAAATTAACGATTCAATATATGGTTGTTTGATTTTACTAACTAGTTGTGTAATTTGTTGTTAAATTTAACGGATTGTCCCCACTGGTGTTTTATTCACTACACTATTACTATTTATGTCGATATAACTAATACACACCACACGTAGATGGGCATTCTTAAGGTCACTTTATCATCTCTCAAAAGTCGTCCATAAATTAGTCCCAACACTATTACATTATACGCTCTCCAAACATTCTTATATATTGTAATACCTGGCTGCAGCCAATGTTAATGGCTCATTCTTGTTATCCAGTTCGCAATAATGATCATAATTTGTCTTAATTAGCAATTATAAATAGGGTTTCCATAACGAAGTTATATAAGCTGTAATGCCAAATGGATGAAAGGCTTTCACGCCAAAATTCAAAATCTATTATCTTATACCTGATTGATTCATTCACAAATGATAGTCTCACCATTTTCTTTATTATAACCGCTCAACCGATCGTACGTTAACATGAAGCACTGAAGTTGGCGCCATAACCTTGAAACCTCTCAAACGTTTCTGATTGGTTCATCCATACATTAAAATCTCATCAATATAATCTATTCATCATGCGTAAAAATGGATTGACATATCATTCACTATCAGTTACATATATACAACATAAGATCAGGCCTATCACTAACTATATTTAATGATTAACAACATTCTAAATAACCATAATGCTTTGATTCAATTAGTAGTATATTTTATTGTCTTTTTTTTGTAATGTATATATAGCACCATTTTTTTTAGCACAAACCATAATGATAACAATCTATACACATTGATACATACTATATATACTACTAATATGAAAACTACAATTGATGAATTACACACTTACTACCATA